GCTAGGATTACAGGCATGAGCCACTGCATCCAGCTTAGATTACTTTTTATTATTTTTATTAATTTTAATGTAATTTAATTTTTTGAGACAGACTCTCACTCTGTCACCCAGGCTGGAGTGCAGTGGCATGATCTCGGCTCACTGCAAGCTCCGGCTCCCAGGTTCATGCCATTCTCCTGCCTCAGCCTCCCAAGTAGCTGGGATTACAGATGCCCACCACCACGCCTGGCTAATTTTTTGTATTTTTAGTAGAGACCAGGTTTCACCTGTGTTAGCCAAGATGGTCTCGATCTCCTGACCTCGTGATCCGCCCACCTCAGCCTCCCAAAGTGCTGGGATTACAGGCGTAAGCCACCGTGCCCGGCCTGATTATTTTTAATACAGAGTAAATGGATGATGTTCCCTCTTCACCAAACAAACAAGGATAGTAATGGAGCTGTTTCATCTGAAGATATATCTGTCACGTGCACTTGGAGTTGGCTGGGAGCATTTCCTTTCCAGGGCCTTCCCCTGATCTGACATGGTTGGTCAGGGGTCAGTGGGCTGGCAGAAGTTACAAGGGGGCCATGGCAGGTCCTGGGGAATGGGGTAGGAGAGGGGTGGGCTTCCAGTCTAAACCAAGATGACTGATGTTAGGTTGAAATATAAAAGCAAATTTTCTGAACAGCTCATCCACAAACACCCATAAACGGCCCTGGGAAAGCAAATGCCAAGAAAGTGACTGCAGGGCTTCACCAGGGCTGAAGGAGGCCCAGAGAGGAGAAAGTCCTCATCTGTGTGACCCGTCTTAGAGGCAACCGTAATCTGCCTCCCGGCTCCTCTGTTACAGGTGGGACACAAGCTTTAGAGACATCCATCTGGCCACCAATGCTACTTACAGGCTGCATGAACTTCCTCTGCTTCTTCATCCTCAAAATGGGCATAACAACCACCTCCCATTTACAGAGGAGAGATGAAGGTTAACAATCAGTCAACAAGGCTGGGCGTGGTGGCTCACATCTGTAATCCCAGCACTTTGGGAGGCTGAGGCGGGAGGATCATGAGGTCAGAAGATTGAGACCATCCTGGGTATCACGGTGAAACCCTGTTTCTACTAAAAAAATACAAAAACTTAGCTGGGCTGTAGTCCCAGCTACTCGGGAGGCTGAGGCAGGAGAATGGCGTGAACCCGGGAGGCGGAGCTTGCAGTGAGCCGAGATTGCGCCACCGCACTCCAGCATGGGCGACAGAGTGAGACTCAGTCTCAAAAAACAACCAACCAAACAAACAAACAAAAAAATCAGTCAACAAATATTTATTAAACAAGTATTCCAGGGCAGTGTCTCACCAACTGTAATGTGTGTGTACATCACCCGGGAACGTTATAAGGGTTAGATTCTGATTCAGTGGGTTTGGGGGGGCCCTGCAAGCTCCTGGGTGGTGCACATATGATCATCCCACCTCCCCCCATCCCCCTACATACACATACATCAGAGACATACATCAGAGGCTCAGCTTCCAGAGGGAGGGGTCTGCACCCCACGTTTCTGGGAATGCCATCAAACATCAGGTATACAAGAGGAGCTCAGGAAATCGGTACCTGGGAAATGAAGAACCAAACAGGGGATTCTGACAGGCAGGGGAGGCTCTGCCCGGGGCCACAGGTGACTTGGGAGCAGCTGGCCACAGGATAGGGCATTACTGAGTAACAGGTCAACATGACGACTTCTCTGCAGCCAGGAGCAGCTGAAGGCAGGACCAGGGAAGAGGTGGTTTTTCTTCCAGAGCCTCCGGCAGGGCCCAGCCCACCTCCCAGGTTACCAAGAGGCCCTAAAATCCAGTCTCCTACTCCTGGCTGGACTTGGTCAGTCTGAGCACCTGTGTGACTCAAATGTTACGGGACCAGGAGTGCTGGTGGCTGGGCACAGACCACCTGGACATGGAAACAACAGGTCTTCCCATGAAGTTGTCTTATTTTTCTATCTTAGTGGGGAACATGTGGTTTTTCTATTGTTTCTAAACAGACGTGACATGGACAATAACTCTTTTCCCCTCAGAGGAGGTGGAGGTCATGTACTCCCCTATACCTTATATACACAAATATGCATGTGATGTCTCTGCACTCTGGCTAATGAAAACCCAAGACTGCTGCAACTGCCTCTTCACTCAGGCTCCTGGGTTGACATCTAAAGCTTTCCCGGGAATCAGAACGCATCTTTGGGTGTAATACAAGGGTGCACATTTCAGAGGAAGGCCGGGCCTTTGTGAGTGACGCCTCACAGGGTCACAGTGCAAGTCCCTCTACTCTGATGGGGAAAGAGGGTGAGGGGAATGTGTTTTTATGTCTTTTGAGGGTGGGGGTGAAGAGACCCAGGGCCTGTTTCTGAATCCCCTAAAAAGAACAGCAGCTCCATGTTGGAATCGCTCCACACTGGGGCCCCCCCAGAGCCTCCCAGTCTGGCAAGCTCAGGCCCCCCTGTGACACACAGGCCCTGTCCTCCTCCTCCAGTCAGGTGTGCCTGAGACCCAGACTCCCCACCCCACTAGAGAGTACCAAACAGAACCACAGAGCAGATTCCTGTGAAAAATGGCCAGTCAAGCCATGGCGTAATAGTCTGGCCAGGAGTGCTGAGTGTGGGTCAGTCTGGCTCCTGCAGGCAGCCCAGCATCAAATGGAGCCCAAGATCGAGTGGCTGTCTGGGACGGAGGACTCCAGTTCAAATACACGCTAACTGATGTCCTGGGCAAGCTGCTTCATTTTTGTCAGCCTCAGTTACCTCAACTGTAACATGAGGGGTTGGCCTGGATCACTTGATTCCTTTCATCCTAGGATTCTCAGCAACAGTATCACAAGCTCCAGCTGCCTGGGTTCAAATCCCGCCTCCGCCACTTCCTGTGAGACCTCGCATGAATCACCTCACTTCTTCCAACCTTAACTCCTCATCCGTGACATAGAATGAGGGGAACACTACCTCAGAGGGTTACAGAGGGGACTCAACGAGGGTCTACCTGGCATGGAGGGGGGCTGAATAAATATCAGCATTCTGTGAACTCTGTGGCCCCTGCTGCCACCACCCTCATGCTCACAGATGGAGTCAGGACCAACGACCAGCATCCTCAGCCCCCGAAGGGTGTGGCCTCTACTCTGCATGGGAAGACCCACCAAATCCCCCAAACCCAGGCAGATCAACATCGTGCACACCCTGGTAGCCACGTGCATGGTCTCAAGCACACGCAGGGTCAGGCAAACCTCAGCATGCCGGGCAGCAGGCATGGTCACTGCAGCAGGACAGGGAGGAGGACAGGCAGAGAGGAGGCAGGCAAAGGGAAGGCCATGTGCAGTCACTGGGGAACGGGAGCTAGCACAGCCCGCGACCGAGCAGCCCGCGCCGGCAGCGCCCGGCTCCTTACCTCCCCTGCAGAACCTCTGACCACCGGGACTGTGTTTCCCCCAAGAAGCTGGAGGCATGCTAGAAAGAGGAGACAGCAGGAGACAGGGGGCAATCCGTCCTGAGCCAGGCTCAGGAGAAAGTCCCAGAAAGGAAGCCCGAGGAAGGGGGTTCTGCTCAGGGCGTCCATGGCTGAAAGGGTTTCTAAGAGACCTGAAAGACCCAAATGCCAAATGCAGATCACCCCCAAGGCTGGCCTGTGCCAGAGGCGCAGAGCGGGGGATGAGAGGGCAAACGGAGAAGACTACCCATAGACCAGGCCGTCCCAGAAACGCACCTGCCCTCCCACCGGCTGGCGCTGGGTCCACCCACAGTGACCATCTTGCCAGGTTTCCTGGCATGGTGTGGACCCAATGGAAAAGGGATCCAAGGATCTGGGGTGGGCAAACCCCCTCAGGAAGTCCCACCAGCCAGAGTCAAGGAGGGTGTGCCCTCCACAGATGTCACAGTCACTCCTCCTGGGACCCAGGGGAGACAGGGGAAACTGAGTGTGTGTTGCAGGGGCCTTGGAGGACTCATATTCCAAGGCCAGAGTCAGAGCATGGAGGTTCTTGTACTGGCTCCACCATTAATCTGGGTAACTTTGGGCAAGTTATCCTCTCTGGGCCTCAGTTTCCCCACATATAAGACGGAGAGAATGTCCCTATCTATAATAGAGGGTGTCACATACTCTACAAATGTCAGGCACCAAATCCCCACTGAGCCACAGCCATCTTTTCTAGACTTTTCTCTGGGGGTTGGTTTGTGCGGCACTAGGGAGACGATCAAACATCCAAGATTCCTGACAGCAGGCTGGGCAGAGGGGTTCCCGTAGCCAGGGATCCAGTGAAGAAGGAGCCTGAAGCACAAAGTTTGGGGTAGGATGACTTTAACACTGAACACATTTGGGGTCCTGTTAAATGGCATGGTTTCCCCAGCTGGGCTGTCCACAGCTCCCTCATGAAATTCCTACATCATTGATCTGTGTCCCTAAATCCCCTCCCGAGCACCCCTTGTCCCTGGAAGGCTGAGAGCTCCTCTAGGAACCGGTTCTGAACTGTTCATCACTGGGTCTCAGCCCCTGCTCCCTGGGCCACTCACGGCAGGTGCCCAACAAATAACTGAGGAGTAGCAGACTCCTACAGCACCCAGCACCTCCTCTGGGGCCAGCGCCAGTCAGCAGAGCCAGCCTGCCAGTGAGAGGTCATACTTTGTAAACCTTTCTCAACCTGGCTACACAACTCCGCTGATGCCTCTTGGTCATGGTAACCCTGGGAGGGCAGGTATTACAACCGTATCTTCCAAACAAGTAAACTGAGGCCAAAGAAGGTGAAGAGGTGATTGCCCAAGGGTACACAGTAGGGTGATCGTTGTTGACAGAGCCAGGGCGAGAATCTGAGTCTCCTGATGTCCCAGGCACCAGGCAATGTCAACATGGCCAGTTACTACCAGCATCCACATTGGACACCAGTACCAGGGCATGGGCACTACCAGGGGTGAAGAATCTGGACACGAGCCCAGCAGGGCCCTGGGAGTCAGAGTGCAATGAGCTGCACACAGTGGAGGGGAGCCCAGGCTGGCGCTAACAGCTACCTTTGATGACAAAAGCCTCCGACAGCAGCCGCATCTGATACAGGGGCTTGTTCTCCATGGACACGTCATCGATCCCGGCCCGTGCATACATGCTGATGGCATCTCGGTACGAGCCCTCCACGTAATGCAGTTTGCCCAGGATCAGCATGGCCTCACACATGTACTGTGGCTGAAAAGACAAGGACATGTTAGCAGCACCTCCCCGAAAGGCACCTTGGGGTGAACACCCCCCACTGAACCTTGACCCTGTTTGCCTCAGACCTTGCTCAGAACTCCCCCGCCTCCTCCAGGAAGCCTTCCCTGATGCTTAAGCACATGATCCCCGCTCTCACCCATGGTCCATAGCCCACATCGTGGCTCTCAAAGAAATTCTCATATGAGTTCCTAATGGTTTCAAATGTGTGCGTTTTATGTCCCCAGCAAGACTCCAGAGACCTTGCAGACTAGGCCCTGTCTTCCCTCTCCTGAAGCCCCCCAAAGACTGCAGCCCATGGGGGTCCCTCAGAAGCTCAGGCATTTATTCTAAACACAAGTGGAGAGTCAGAGATGGAGCTAAGGTTTGTGGAGCCCCAGGCTTCTCATTTTGGGGGTCCTCTTGTGTACATGTATACGCAAATCATAATTAGGTAAAAGGCCTCAGAAACAGCCTATGGGGGAGGCTTATGCCTTCCCCAACAGTGGTGGAGGGACAGATTGAGGAGGAGAGGGCCTGCTGCGTCACCATCCTCTTCCTATCAGAAATGGGTCAAAGTGCAGAACCACAGAGGCCAAGAGTGGCTGAATTTAAACCTGGTTTCTTTTCCCTCCTTTTTCAAAAGCTGCTTATATCTCAATCTCCACCCCACAGAGGAACTCTCAGGGCCTCCCTTAGGGCCTGCAGTGGTCTGGACAGCCCTGATCACCCCTACTCTGGCTTGGGCTCCTGTGCTGCTGCCTGAGGGAGGCTGTGCTGGCCCTGGGCTGTGCCACATGCGTTCTGATCTTGGACATGGCCCCAGTTCTCCTTGTGACCTCCCACCTCTTCAGGCCATTTGTTCTGGTCCGCTGCCTCTGATTCTGTCCTCAGCTGGCTCACAATGCCTACGGGCCAGGCCCTGGGCACTGCTCCTGCCACACAGGCACCAATCTGTCCATAAAGCTCCCCAAAGATGCAGCTCTGGTCCCACTCCTGGCATCTGTCACTGGCAGGAAGGTGCTGCCCCTGTCTCCCTGCAAAGAGGTAAGAGTCTGGGGTCCCTGTGTCCCCAGGGCAAGCCTCCAGCACTCCTTACCATCTACTGCCCTCTCAGAAGCCAAGAGAAATGGAGCGTGGCACAGACAGGCTCCAGGGAAGCCAAATTCTCCTTCCCCACTCGTCCTTCTGGCTTTTGTGAGTCCACATTCCTCTTTTGCCTGTGCTTCCTCAAGTTCCCTTCACCCTAACCTAACCAGATCCTCTTCCATCCTTTGGGGACTTGCTCAGGCCCACCTTCTCCTGAAAGCCTCCCCGACTACCAGGGAGCTCCCTTCAGCTGAACTCCTCCAATGCCTCTACCAATGAGCCCATTCAGCCTCTGCACGCCTGACCTACTCTCTCTATTAATTAACTCTCCAAAGCTGAATCTTTTGAGGGGATTTGCTAGTCTCCTCAGATAGGCCACCCACTCCCTGGGCCAGGGCCACAGATGACACATCCCAGAGGTATGCGGCCTATAGTCCTTCCAGGCTGGGCAGTGACTCTGCGTTCCCTGCACTGGTCTCTAGCCATGGGCTCATTTCCTCCCTGCTCGGGCTGCGTCTTCCTCGTGGGTGAGGGAGAGAAAATAACACCTACTCCTCACCGCCTATCACAGCGATGCTGAGGACATTAATAGGGTAAAGTCCAGAAAAGAGCTTTGAACTTTTCTTTGGAAAAGAGCAAGATAAATACAGGGTATGTGTAATTATCATTATCCTGCACATGGAGACAAGGGCAGCGAGGCACAGAAGGACATTTCAGGCATGCTGATGGCGTGTGGCTAGCGGTGGTTCATGGAAGACCAGTGGCAGTTAACAACAGAGCTTCCACCAAGCTGGGGAAAAATTAGACAATGCAGCGCATGTTTTATAAAGCCACATTCACACTATTTAAAAAGATGCTCGGCCGGGCATGATGGCTAACGCCTGTAATCCCAGCACTTGGGGAGGTCAAGGCAGGCGGATCACCTAAGGTCAGGAGTTTGATACCAGCCTGGACAACATGGTGAAAACCCGTCTCTACTAAAAATACAAAAATTATCTGGGTGTGGTGGCACGCGCCTGTAACCCTAGCTACTCGGGAGGCTGAGGCAGAAGAATCACTTGAACCCGGGAGGCGGAGGTTGCAGTGAGCCGAGATCGTGCCACTGCATTCCAGCCTGGGTGACAGAGCGAGACTCCGTCGTCTGAAAAAAAAATGGCTCTTAGTTCTGAAAGGATATCTACCTTGCCCTTCAATGCTAAGCTGTTTTTCTGTTATGGCACAGTAAGAGCAGAAGATGGTATCATTTTGCTGCTATTTCTTGCTTTTTAATGTCCTTACTTGGCAGCATGAAAAGTCTGCTGCACTCCGTGGGACCCATGCATGTGGATATGAAATGTTCTTGGTCTATCAGTCCAATAGTCAGGGAACGGAACCCTCACCCAGTGGGAGGGTGCCATGCAGGAGGTCACTTTACCAGGGGGACAGTCCCCTCTACTGTGTGGATCAGTGCATCACCTACTCCTTTTGTGCCTCACTGTCCCTGTCAATAGAAAGGGAAAGAGGACTTCATGGAGATACCCAGGTATGAGGAAATAACGGATGAGGAAATACTTCACAGACTAACGTGGGAACTATAAAAGTAGGGGTGTGATCACCATCCGTCACATGAATCCAACTTTCCCAGTCATTATTTTATTTCCACCCCAGTACTCTGGGAGGCAGCACCAAGAAGTGAGAGACAGCATTAGAGCATGGGCTGTAGACACCAAAGGCCTGGGTTGTCATCACTGTTCTTGGGTCTCAGAGATGGGGCTTGGCAGGGCACAGGGCCTCATGCCTATAATCCCAGCACTTTGGGAGGCCAAGGCAAGAGGATCGCTTGAAACCCGGAATCTGAGACCACCCCAACCAACACAGTGAGAACCCTGTCTCTACAAAAAAATTGAAAAAGAAAACAAAAAGAAATGGGGCTAATAGTAAATACCATTGCAGAATGTTCCTTGGAGGCCTACATGGGATGGTGCAAAGCCTCAACCTAGTGGAGAACAGAGTTTAGGACAAGTGGCTTGTTTTTGCTGATCTCCACACAACTGAGCTAGACTGGGTTTTAGAGATCAGGATCTTGCTCTGTCACCCAGACTGGAGTGCAGTGGCATGTACACAACCCACTGCAGCCTCAACCTCCTGGGCTCAAGTGACCCTCCAGCCTCAGTCTCTTGGATAGCTGGGACCACAGATGCAAGCCACCATGCCCAGCTAATTAAAAAAAATTTTTGTAGAGATGGGGTCTCACCATGTTGCCCAGTCTGATCTCAAACTTCTGGCTCAAGCAATCCTCCCGCCTTAGCCTCCCAAAGTGCTAAGACTACAGGCGTAAGTCATAGGCCAGTTGGGACTTTTATTTATCACTCAAATTACTTATTTGTTGACTGGAATTTTTACAATAAGCCTGAATCATGTTTATTTTTGAAACAATTTTTAAACATTTAACATTTAATTAAAGAGGTCTTGATGGGAAAAGCTTGAACCCCATCAATCTGGTCCAACCCTTTTGACCAGCAGATGACAAACTGGAAGGTCTGTGGGGTCAATGGACATACTCACGGTCAGGCAGTTATTTTAACCCAATACAAACCTCCCAGTGCTATAATACCTCTCAAGGAGCCTAAAAGCAGTAACCTTAAACTTCTAGTACACACTCCCCTCTCCCCTGTCCCTTCCCGTTCCCTCCCTTACAGAATAAGCCTTGCACATCCCAGCCTGGTGTTCCAGTCTGCCCTTCCTAGCCCCAAAGTACCTTTACAACCTTGTCTACATCCAGCCCCAGAAGGATCCAATTCTAGTACTACCATTACCCGGAGTCTGCTCTCTGCTTACCCTCAAAGAGCATCCCGCTCAGACTTGCTTCCTCATGGATACCACTCCTATCATGGTCCACCTTGGAGGAAGGCTATTTACTTACTGACAGGACTTATCTTCCCAAGAGACTTGCAGCCTCCTTGAGGGCAGGGTCCACACTAGATTTGTCTTGATTGCCCTCAGAGTGCACAACACAATGCCTTGCACACAGTACGTTGGAATAAAAGGTTTAAGGAAGTGAATATATTACTTTGGAATATCTCTTTAAAAATCAGCTGGGCGCAGTGCCTTACTCCTGTAATCCCAATGCTTTGGGAGGCTGAAGCAGGAGGATTGCTTGAGCCTAGGAGTTGGAGACCAGCCTGGGTAACACAGCAAGACCCTGAAGAAAATAAAGACAGACAGACAGACAGAAAGAAAGGGTGGTGGGGGGGAAGGAAGCAAGGAAGGAAGGGAGGGAAGAAGGGAGGGAGGGATCACTTCCTCTTTGAGTTTCTTTTTTTTTTTACCCCCTCCCCCTCCTCTTTGAGTTTCTAATGACATACCCATGCCACTATTATAGCTCAGGATACATTGTAATCTAGAACAGCCACAGCCTCAAACTTGGATGCACATATGAATCACCAGGAGAGCTTGTTAAAACGCAGATTCTAATTCTTAATTGCATTTCTAACCAGCTCCCCAATGATGCCCACACTGCTGGTGGGTGGACCACATTTCGAACAGCAAAGTCCAGAGAAAGTTGTGACTATACTCCTTCTGGGAGGGAGAGGTGGGTCCTCTGCCTCCCTCAGTGTCTTGTACTCAGTAGGTGCTTGATAAATGCACGTGGACTTTTTTTTTTTTTTGCATGTGGACTTAAATGGGCTTGCCCTGTTATGGAGCTCTTCTGTCCCTAGCCAACTCTGCATGTTTGCCTGTTTTTAACTAGGTCACAGGTTCCCTGAAGTTTTATTTCCCTGAGAGCCCCCTGACCCAAGGAGCCCAGAGGGCCAGGCACATATTTTTTTTCTTTTGAGTTGGAGTCTTGCTCTGTCACCCAGGCTGGAGTGCAGTGGTGCAATCTCGGCTCACTGCAAGCTCCACCTCCCGGGTTCTCGCCGTTCTCCTGCCTCAGCCTCCTGAGTAGCTGGGACTACAGGCGCCCACCACCATGCCCGGCTAATTTTTTTGTATTTTTAGTAGAGACGGGGTTTCACCGTGTTTGCCAGGATGATCTTGATCTCCTACCTCGTGATCCGCCCGCCTCGGCCTCCCAAAGTGCTGGGATTATAGGCGTGAGCTACCGTGCCCGACGGGCCAGGGACATATTAAGTCAACCAAGCACTGTCCAACAGAAATATAATGCAAGCCACAAATGTGAACCACATGTGTAATTTAAAAATTTCTAGTAAGATTATTTTTAGTCACACTGAGAAAGGTAAAAGGTGAAATTAATTTTAATAACGTTTTCTTTAACTCAATATATCCAAAATATACCATTTGAACATGTAATCAACATAAAGTTACTGCTCTTTTATATTCTCTGTTTTGTACTAAGACTTTGAAACCTTGTGTATGTTTTATACTTACAGCACATCTCAATGTGGACTAGCCATACCCCAAGTGCTCAAGGGGCCACATGTAGCCAGTGGCTACTGTAAGTGTAAGGGCAGCTTGTAAGAGAGACTTGTTGCTCAGGTGACCAAATGACTCAGGGAGGACTGGACAGATGGGAGGCAACGCAGATGAGGAGAGGAGGTCTCACGCTTGAAGGCCAACGACTTACCGTGAGCCTCCCATGGTTAAGGATACTGCTCAGATAATTTTTGGCTTCGCTCATCTTCGGCTCATTCTTCTCCAGCAAAGGGATGGAGTCTTTTATTTTGGCATGATTCTCCTTCAAACACTGCTCCAGGAGGGCCTCAGCCAGCAGCAATTTCCCAAAGTCATCTGCAAAGCAAAGCAGGGATCAGAGCAGCAATCCCTTGAACAAGGCGGATAATGGAGGGCAGTGCACACTCCTTCCTGGACCCACCCAACCACCCCTACCAGGTACATGAACGGCTCAGGTCTGAGAAAATAAAGGCACATTTTCCATAAATTTCAACAGCCTTTAAAGAAAAGACACAGGCATTCTACCACGATTACAGTACAAATTGCCCCTTTGGATTTATTTTCTGCTGTAGTTTAATGGTTGGGAATACAGAGTTCCCAGGACCTGGGGACAAATTCCCAGAATTTCAGAATTTAAAATAAGGGACAAAGTCATACGTATGCTGTGCTGTGGATAATAAGTTCTTAAACCAAGAAGGAATTCTCCTCAAATGATTGAAGAGGAAAAATACATGAAGTGGCTTAATAATGTACTTTCACATGCTGCTAATTTCTATGTAACCATAATTGGTTTTCTCCATTTTTAAGTGTTTTTCTTTGTTTGTTTTAAACGGAGTCTCACTCTGCCACCCAAGCGGGAGTGCAGTGGCATGATCATGGCACTCCCAGGCTCAAGTGACCCTCCTGACTTAGTCGCCCAAAGTGCTGGGATTACAGGCATCAGCCACTGCACCATTCCGTTTTTAAGGCAATTTGACATGACTCAGGATAACCTGGCAGCCACGGTAGAGTTAGGTGGGAAGCAGATCTACTTGTCGCCAAGGCAAATCCTCGAACATGTTTAATACCTCTGCATTTTCTGGAGTTCTCTCACGTATAGGGTATACCTGCAAATGAGGGTAGCTCATTTGCATCCCTCACCACCTAGTAGATGGTTTTATACTGCTTGGTTTAGTGAGCACGGTGGCTCACGCCTATAATCCCAGCACTTTGGGAGCCCAAGGCAGGCAGATCACTTGAGGTCAGGAGTTTGAGACCAGCCTGGCCAACATGGCAAAACCCTGTCTCCACTAAAAATGCAAAATTAGCTGGGCATGATGATGGGCACCTGTAATCACAGCTACTCGGGAGGCTGAGGCAGAACTGCTTGAATTCGGGAGGTGGAGGTTGCAGTAAGCCAAGATCGCACCACTGCACTCCAGCCTGGGAAACAAAGTGAGACTCTGTCTCAAAAAATAAAAATAAAAATAAAAATAAAAATAATACACGGCTTGGTTTATTCGCTGCCTCCCTTTACCACACTGAAAGCTCATCTTGTGACCACCAGATTCCTGCTACCTACAGCAGAGGCGGCTCGAGCATGGGAGTCGGGTGTTCAGTGTGCAGGGTCTGAGGTCAAGGGTGGTTTCACCGTGGTTCTTGGGTGGCTATGCTCTGCCCCTCCCAACAACTGGGGTGAGGAGCAGGCCCACCATTCAATATAAGAAGCACTGAGTAAATACCTGTTGAGTGAATCGGATCTCTCAACTACCCCACAGGGAAGCCATCAGGATCGAGAGTTAAGTGCCAGTCCAAAAATGTCCCTACAAATGCCTGCTTGGTGCCATCTTTTTCAAAGTGCTCTTTTTGCTACCAGGACAGTGTTCTCAGATGTACAGGGCTGCCATTCCCTCCTCACTCTCAGGATATCACAGTTTGCTAACATCTCATAGCCACTGGTCCAAAACTGCATGCCTTGGCCGGGCACCGTGGTGCATGCCTGTAGTCCCAGCTTCTTGGGAGGCTGAGGTGGGAGAATCACTTGAGCCCAGGAGTTCAAGACCAGCCTGGGCAACACAGGGAGACCCCGTCTTTAGAAAAACACAAAAAACTTCATGCCTCTGAAGACGAATGTCTTATCATAAGGGAGATTCCCCACAGAGAATGATTCTAAAGCTCAGAATCCTGAGAACACCATCGCAGGGGGTTTTCGTTCTGAAGGCACCTGTTATGGGATCCTTTGCTACGTACCTCATGACTTTTAAAATTAACATTTTGAGGAAATGGTCCAAAAAGTACCTGGTTCAAACTATCATTCACTGCTGGCAGACTATAAGTTGGTAGAATCTCTAGAGTAATTTGGTAACATACATCAAGATTATTTTTGCACATCCCCATAGAGCCGCATTCCAGAGCTGTGGGCCTTGGGGAAAGTTCCTCCCTGCTTCTAACCTGCTTTGCCTCTGTAAAGCCAGGGGTGGGGTTTGAAGTCAGAGCCTAAAGAGGGAAACGAACCCCTCAGGACGTTGGCCATGCCCCCCAGCTGGTCCCTGCCTCGTTGCCCCCTTTCCTCTGTGCACTGGCAGGGCTCGCGCCCTTGGGTGACCATGCGACCAGACACAGCACCATCGGCGGCCATCCCGTGCACTCTGCCATCCACCTGCCCGGACCAGAGCTCCTCGCTTGGGTGAGCTGCTTGGTTGGGTGCTTTCACACCAAAGAAACCAGCTTCCTCCCCAGAGCATGCCCCTTTGGACCTGGGCTGCTCCAAGTGCGGCTGGCCACGGCCTGGTGCGGGTCTCTCAATGCTTGTGATCCAATCCCAAGGAGATGAGTGCAGAAACTTAAGAGTACACCTTTAGAAATTTGACAGAGTAATTTTAAATCTGTTGAAATCTAATACTAAAAAATTGGGAGGTAGTATTTTGTGTATTTTTCTTTTATTTTTCTAGTAATTCATTTTTATTGCACTTTATGAAAGTATCGGAGCATAACAGATTGGGAATTTATTTTGAGACAGGGTCTCTGTCACCCAGGCTGAAGTGCAGTGGCATGATCTCAGCTCACTGCAATCTCCACCTTCTGGGTTTAAGCAATTCTCCTGCCTCAGCCTCCTGAGTAGCTGGGACTACAGGCATACGCCACCATACCCAGCTAATTTTTTGTATTTTTGGTAGAGACGGGGTTTTACCATGTTGGCCAGGCTGGTCTCGAACTCTTGGGCTCAAGTGATCTGCCTGCCTCGGCCTCCCAAAATGCTGGGATTACAGATGTGAACCACTGTGCCTGGCCAGATTGGGAATTTAAACAAAACAAAATTGATCCTTCACCACATATCTCTAAACCATAAGAGTGACTGACTGCGAAAGAGGCACTAATATTTGTTGAAGGCTTAGTATGGGCCAGACGCTTTTTCATATAGCATCATTTCATTTCCACAGCCCTGAAAGGTAGGTATTATCACCATTTTATAGATGATAATAAAGATATGCAGTATTGTTATGGTCACAGCCAGTAACAATAATAAAAACATAACACAGCCAAAAAATACCCTGTCTGTCCTGCATCCCATGCAGAACAGAGCTGCTGGTAATTTCAAAATAAACAATAGTCTTAACAACTTAAAACAGTACATTAAAAGCTAGTTGTAAATCCGAGGACAGGGATAAGAACTGTCCTCACCTTCATATACCTGTGACTTTCAGACTATTTTGTTGATTGACACTTCAAGTCCTTCTCAGAAGGCTTTCTGCCTGCCCCTTTCAGCCCCCAACTCAATCTGCTTGTTGTTTGTTTCCCAGACACCCAGGAGGCAGCAGAAATTCACTTTCTTTTCCTCCTTTGCTCAACTCTCCTCTCCCTGCCCTACCTCTCTCTTGCCTTCCTCTCCTCTTTCCATCCAACTATTCTCAACTGTCCAGTCTATGGAACTGAAGGATGTTTCGGAAGTAGAACTTCTAGACTTTTCGTTGTTAAATAAGAATTCAGGCCTGGTGTGGTGGCTTACGCCTATAATCCCAGCACTTTGGGAGGCCAAGGTGGTAGGATGGATTGAGACCAGGAGTTAGAGACCAGCTTGGTCAACACAGTGAGACTCTGTCGCTACACACAAAAAAAGTTAGCTGAGGTTATAGGTACATGCCTAGAGTCCTAGCTACTTGGAAGGCTGAGGTAGGAGGATGGCTTAAGCCCAAGAGTTCAACGCTGTAGGGAGGAGCCACGACTGTTCCACTGCACTCCAGCCTAGGCAACAGGGCAATACCTCATCTCTAGAAAATTTAAAAAAAAAAAAGAAAAGAAAAAAAAAAAAAGAATTCAGGTGGATAAAGGCTTCTCTGCCATTCCAAACGGAAAACAAGTTGCTTTTTATCATCCTGTTGTCTGAAACCTCCTCTCTATCCCAGTTCTGGTGAAGTGCTGTAGCTTCCCTCTACCCAGGGGCGTTTAAGGAGACCTTCCCATCAGACCGATAGTGAATCCGACCCTGGGTGCTGATTCTGCAGCCCTGCTCAGCACCCTGCCCTCAGCAAAGTCCCAAAGCCCCACTTACTGGCCACCTAGTCTCCCAACCCCATCGTGTTGGGAAGGCCTCAGTGCCTACCTTCCTTACAGCCCCTTCAGCTCACATCCCCTCCAGGCCTCTCCAAGAGTGCCAGGTCACAGGGGCACCCTTCAAGACCCCATGTTTGAATGACAGTGATCCCCTTTCCACAACCCACCCATTCATAGTCAGGAAACGCTGGTCTAGCCAGCCAGGCCAGGGTTCAGACCGGGCCCTTCCCCGCTGGGACAAACAGGGGCACAGTGGTTTCTGCAGCTGCTCACCTCCCAGGACTATAAAGGGCTGGGACCTGCCAACCACAGCCAGGAGGAAAAGACTGAAACTAGCAAGAGGCCATCTGCCTCGAACAAACCCTTTCTAACTGAAACTGAAGAAATGTTCAAAACAATCTCCAGTCTTAAGGAGAAGAAAAAAAAAAGCAGGGCGGCGGGGTGGGGTGACTACAGATTAGGAGAAATTCAAAGGCCAGGCATGGTGGCTAACACCTATAATCCCAGCACTTTGGGAGACCAAGGCAGGAAGATTGCTTGAGTCCAGGAGTTCAAAATCAGCCTGGAGCACATAGTGAAATCCTGTCTCTACAAAAAATAAAACAATTAACTGGGTAGCTGGGCACAGTGGCTCACACCTGTAATCCCAGCACTTTGGGAGGCCGAGGCGGGTGGACCATGGGGTCAACAGATAGAGACCATCCTGGCCAACATGCTGAAACCTCATCTCTACTAAAAATACAAAAATTAGCTGGGTGTGGTGGTGTGCACCTGTAGTCCAAGCTACTTGGGAGGCTGAGACAGAAGAACTGCTTAAACCCAGGAGGCGGAGGTTGCAGTGAGCCGAGATCACACCACTGCCACTGCACTCCAGCCTGGCAACAGAGCAAGACTCCATCTAAAAAAAAAAAAAATGGGTGTGGTAGCATACACACCTGTGATCCCAGCCACTTGGGAGGCTGAGGCAGGAGGATCACTTGAGCCCAGGCTGAAGTGAGCTATGACAGAATAAGACCCTGTCTCTAAGAAAAAAAAAAAAAATTAAAAAGAAAGTCTCAAGATGGATAGGTAGAGAACAGATATGTAATAAAGCAAGCACAGCAAAAGGTTAATAGGTACACAGGTGTTCACTGCAAATTCTTTTTGACCTTTACTATATATTTGAAATTTTCATAACAAAATATTGGGTGGGGTACGGAGACCTAACCTAACAATCAAGCGCAATGTGTGGCCTAATTTGGATCCTGACTCTAATAAACTAATTGTAAAATGTAATTGTTAGATTTTTTGTAAGGTATAATAATGGTACAGTGGCTATATTTTTAAAAAGAGTTTTTATTGCTGGGTGTGGGGGCTCATGCCTGAAATCTCAACACTTTGGGAGGCCGAGGTAGGAGAATAGCTTAAGCACAGGAGTTCGAGACCAACCTGGGCAACATAGCAAGACCCCATTTCTACAAAAAAAATTGAAAATTAGCTGGGTTTGCTGATGTGTGCCTGAGGTATGTTGCTTGGGCTGGTCTCGAACTCCTGGTCTCAAGTGATCCTCCCGTCTTGGCCTCCCAAACAGCTCAGACTACAAGTGTGTGCCACCATGCCTAGCTAATTTTTTTGGAGGGGATGGGGGGTAGAGATGGGTCTCACTTTGTTGCCCAGTCTGCCCTTCTTTCTAGTCAGGAGGCTGAGGTGGAAGGATCCCTTGAGCCCAGGAGTTTGAGTGTGTAGTGAGCTATAATTATACCAGTGAACTCCAGTCTGGGTGAAAGAGATAGTTCCTGTCTCTAAAAAAAAAAAAAAAACAAAAAAAAACCAAAAAAAAAAACAACCAAAAAACCAGAGATCTTATTTAACAAGTACATACTGAAAAACTGAAATGTGGAGGAGAAATGGGTTGAGTATAGCTCAGATGAGACTTCATGAGTTTGTATCACTGAAGTTGGTTGATGGATACATGGGACTCATTCTTTCATGTTCTTTAATGTTTTGAAAATTCTTCATAATAAAGTTGTTTTTTAATCACTCGGATGGGAACTTTGTTTTTATATGAACAAACCCCAGCACAGCAAGCAGGACTCTGGGGTTCCCCTGCTCCATCCTGACCAAATCTAGACCGGATGTGAGTGAGAAGACAGTAGCAAGCACCTTCCCCCTGTCTGGGTGGCAAGGAGCAACCTCAGACAGGAAAAGAGTACAGGGGCCTATTTTGCTGAAGCATCTACTGATCTTTCATCCCCCCATATCAGAAAGAGTCCCCACAGCTCATCTTCCCCTTCTGCTCCCTAAATCTGCCTCTGGGAGCTACTTCTCATTTCTGTGGGAAATATCAGACACCGCTGGACCTCAAGGCCTCAGTAAAATGGGTTTCAACCCCCAGTCTCAGAACCTCTCCCAATTCTGTAACTGTGGAAGCTTCAGATCACTGACTCGTAAGAGTCAAACAGGCCAGGTGGGATGTGAAGAATCTCCCTTCAGGGATGCAGGGGAGTCTGCATCAAATCCCAAAAAAGAACAAGCTCTCAATCCCTTGAGTGATCAAGGAACCCTGTAGAGAAAGGACCAAAACAGCAGTCAATCCAAACAACGCTCTAAGCACGGGCTTTGGGAGGCATTTGTTTTTGTTCCTCATGTTTCTGTGTGTGCATATGCGTGTATGACTATATGTCCCAGTGTGAGTGCATGCTTTGTGATAGTGTATCTGGATTTAACAGTGGGAGAAAAATCATTCACAGACTCCAAAACTGGCAGGAGAGACCCCGCTGACCCTCCATGTCCTTCCTTATACTAGCCAGTTCCCACAGTGAAGCCAGCCCAGGGTCCACATCCCCAACTCTGACACTAAGAGACTTGACGGCAGAGACTCAGGCTTGAGTACAGGCTTTCCCACATACACATTATGTGACCTCTCCGGGCCTTGGTGTCCCTATGTCTAAAATGGGGACAATAACTCCTGCCCTCCTAATAGGGTTGTTCACAAGAATATAGAAAATAGAGAAAGTGGCCAGGCACAGTGGCTCATGCCTGTAATCCCAGCACTTTGGGAGGCCCAGGTGGGCGGAATGCTTCAGCCCAGTTGGAGATCAGCCTGGGCAACATGGCGAAACCCCGTCTCTACTAAAACTACAAAAATTAGCCCGGCATGGTAGCCAGCACCTGCAGTCCCAGCCACCTGGGAGGCCTCACTTGAACCCAGGAAGTCGAGGCTGCAGTGAGCTGAGATGGCACTACTACACTCCAGCCTGGGTAACAGAGAGACCCTGCTTCAAAAAAAAAACAAAAAACAAAAAAACCCAAAAGACAACAACAAAAAACCCACAAACAATTGCCCTCCAATCACTTTCTTGCCACTGTGGGAGCTCTTCAAGGACAGGGATTTTGTGCTGTACATCTTTGAGAGGTAATAGTGCAAGTGATTTAAAGGATGTACTCAAAACCTGGGCTCAAATCCTGGTTCCACAACTTACTGGTTAGCTGATCAAGTTACTTAGTTGCTCTGTGCCTCAGTTTCCTTATCTGTAAAGTGGGGCAAACAAGAGTACTTGCTTCACGGGGTTGATTAAAGGGCTCAGGACAGTGTCTGGCACACAGGAAGCACGAGATAAGTGTTGACTATTACTATTACTATCACGATCTGTCACTCTCAGAGCCTTCCACAGGCTGGGCAGTCTTTAAAAACTATATCTGTATTCATTTATTTCTTGCCTCCTTCCACAAAGCCTCCTAAGTGATTGTGCCCACAGAGAGGACTCAGGGAGGGTGAGGTGAAGGCCCCAGGAACAGGATCTGAGGTTAGAGGCTGGGGCGGGGTGTTCCCCGCTGCCACATCAGGGTGCTTTCCCGCCCCAGCACAAGAGCCCGGCCCAGCCAAACCAGCCCTACTGCTAAAGCCACCAACTGCCAGAGTTGGATGTGTCCCGAGATCGCCACAGATGAGAAAACTGAGGCTGGCCAAGCCTCTTCCCCATTTCTCCACCACCCCACCCTGGGGTTCGTCAAACCCTCGCCCCTGTCTGCTGCGGACAGAGCTCCGTTTTCAACTTTACTTGCAATAACTATGAACAAAGACGAGACAGACACACTTCACCTGTTGGAGTTTAGGGACACCCCACCCTCGGACCGCGGTGGGGGGCAAGAGTCCAGCCAATGCACTGATCTCATAATGTGCAGATACCACCATTTCACGGTAGACAGAGTTAGCCACATTATCCTAAAGGACAGAGAGGAAAAGCCGTTTCTCTTCCCTCCAAGCCCCCAAACTACATGTGATTTTTCTCTCGCGGCAGAAGGACCTTCTTAACTACCCTGGCTGCTCCTAAGACCAGCACGGTGGGCGGGTGGACGCCCGTTGCCGGCCGAGGACGGTCTGGGCGCGCTTCCTGGAGGAGGCGGTGCGTTTCGCGCGCTAGCTGCCGGCGAGCCAGCCTCTTCCCTCACTCACCGGTGTCCGGAAAGGTGAACGCTGCGCTCGGGATGCCTCGCCTGTTACCTCCGCCGCCGGGCATGCTCAGCGACTGCAGCTGCCGGACCAGCTCCGGCATGCGGTCCCAGTGGCCCTCGGCGCGGCAGCGCTCCAGCTCGCTCTCCACCTTCAGGTGGGAGCCGTGCGCGCCCTTCGCAGCCATCTTCTCGCGGGCGCTGTCATGGAAGGTGCGGCCAAGAAGTGGAGACCCGGACGGGGGCGGCGTCCCGGCTGGGGCGCACTCGCGGGTGGGGTTGACGGGGGCGCAGACGGCAGCCGGGGCCCGGGCGGCAGCGGGGGCCCGGGCGGCGGAGGGCCGGCAGCAGCAGCACCCAGCGCACCGCCCGGCGCCTCCGGGCTGCGGCTCCGGCTGAGCTGCCCGGACGCGTACAGGAGCAACCTCCGCCTCTGCTGCAGCAGCTCCTGGCGCTGCCGCCGCCGCCGCCGCTGCAGCTGCTGCCACAGCCTCCGCCCCGGGCCCCGGCGCCGCCAGCTGCGGACCCGCCCCTGGCCGCGGCTCCACCCCCGCGGGGGCGTGGCGAGGCCTCGGCGAGCCCGGCTCGCTGGCTGCCAGCGCGGCCACAGCAGCCAGGCGCGCGACGGGCGCTCGCGGACGCCCCGGTACCAGCCCCCTGCCGCCGCCGCCGCCGCGGAGTCCGAGCTCACTTTAATCCCGCGCGGAGCCCGGGCGCCTGGGGGCGCCTCGCTTCCCGCCCCCTCCCCATCCCATCGGAGCTCTTGGCCTGGGAGACCACCGCCCGACGACCTGGCTTTGTGTGGTAGCCCCGTCACCGCTGCTGCCCCCGACACGTCACAAAAATGGGGAGAGGCCGGCCGACGGGCCCCAACCCCGACGGCGAGCCTCCTGGGAGCTGGCCTGCTGCGCGAGGACCCAGGCCCGTTCCCAGGCCCGCGACTCTCTGGACGCCCCTCTGCTGAGAGCATTTGTATTTTCTTATTTTAGCGGAGTTCCTCTTTCCAACTTGACTTCCCTGACCCGTTGACCTGTCCTCTGTGGAATCTCAGTTGCCCTGGATTTCTTAAAGGCTTTAGGCTGTTTCACCAACTTGGTATTTATTTATTTCTTCATCCTGGTCTAAGACTGTGATCAAAGCTCTATGGAGCGCTTAGCAGGGTTTATCTCGGCGCTGTGGGGTGCCCAGAAGTTCACAGGACTACGGGGCGGGGCCCGCCGAGGTCCACCCTTGCGAGGAGACTTGTTACAGGGGCCCGGCCCCGCTGCCTCCGCAGCTCACAGACTGGTGCGGGAGAAGCCACAGCAAGATCTGAAACCAAAAATGCACTTAAGTGACATATTGTATGGTCGACTGAAGACCCAAAAGACAGCAGGGTCGGGGCAAACTTTTGAGCAGACTCCTAAGAGTTAGAAGGTGCTCTACATCCTCCCTCTGGAGTCTTCACCACTGCCCTAAGTGTTTTTGGACAACTGTAACCGAGGGAAGGTTTTTATGTCAAGCAGAACCCAGGCTCCTAGTGCAGAGGCTCCCATGTGGCCTTTCACATGAAGCCACACAGGGTGATTAGCTGAAGACAGTCTTCCTGTTCCCACTGACCCCCGGCTCCACTGTGGAGGCCCTGCTCTCCGGGTTCTAAATGCAGCTCCAGTCCTTGTTTGGTGGGCAGGATTTCCTAACGGTGGGTGCTGCTCTGAGCACCTGGGGACTGTTCTCAACCGCCAGAGGCCAGGAGGTAGATGAAGGGAAGCTGAGGCTGCTCTGGCAGTTGGAATTTAGAGACAGTTTACTCAAGCAGCTTGTAAACTCCTGGCTTACTCCAGCCAACTCCTCAAGCTGGCTTTTTGTTACTCTTTGGCTGCCTTTGATGGTCACCAGAACCGGATTTCACTTGGAGAGAGAGGGTGAATTAGGGTGACCCGAGAACACACTGTGATTTGCCCCACGCCTGGCATTCCTGGGAGTCAGCCCTGAGGCAGGGAGTGAACAGCAGGGTTGATAAGAGGGAGGCGACCTTGGCAGAAATAAGACCTCCCTTCCTGTGTCTTTTTTCCTAGTCCTTTGCCAGCCCTGCCCCCAGGTTGTAGAGCACCTAGTGAACCAACTGTAGAGGGAATCACTGCTTGTTTCTTTGAGGGGGTCACCAACACTCATATATGTGTGGGCATAAAGGAGTGTGGGGAGGAACAGTCCTCATGGCTCACATTTATAATGAGCTGTTCCTCAACACACGCCTGACCTCTGCACAGCTATTTTTCCAGTAGGGACAAAACCCCAGCCCTCTGATGACCAACATTTCTCAGGGGTGTAAAAAACTAGGAACAAGAACCCCCCTCGGCCTCCCAAAGTGCTAGGATTACAGGCTTGAGGCACTGTGCCCAGCCAGTTTTATTCCTTTTCTAGTGCCTTGTTTTAAAGGCTATTGTACAATTTTGGGTAGGGATTTAGATGGGTCAGTCTGAACCTTGATGGGTTTAGCTCCTGTAGAATATCAGTAAAATTTTTATTTTATTTTACTATTATTTTTAATTTATTATTTTGTTTGTAGAGATGGGATCTTTCTGTGTTGCCCAGGCTGGTCTTAAACTCCCAGCCTCAAGCGGTCCTCCCACTCTGGCCTCCCAAAGTGCTTTTCTTTTTTTTTTTTTGAGACGGACTCTTGCTCTGTTGCCCAGGCTGGAGTGCAGTGGCACGATCTCAGCTCACCACAACCTCCGCCTCCCAGGTTCAAGCAATTCTCCTGCCTCAGCCTCCCGAGTAGCTGGGTCTATAGGCGTGCACCACTATGCTCAGCTAATTTTTGTATTTTTAGTACAGACAGGGTTTCACTATGTTGGCCAGGTGGTCTCGAACTCCTGACCTCATGATCTGCCTGCCTTGGCCTCCCAAAATGCTGGAATTATAGGCATGAGCCACCCCGCCCAGCCTACAAAGTGCTTTGATTGCAGGTATGAACCACCCACCACACAGGGCCAGTAGAATTTTTTGACTGTAAGAGAGCTTCAACTTAATGTTTGATTTACACACCAAAGTACTGATAAATCAATATCCAAATTGGCTATGACCTTATTATGGACAGGAAGGGCCTCAGGGACTAGAAGGAAAAAACCCTCAGGAGAGCATGTCGTGTGGCAACTCCATTCACATAATGAATCCCTCTCTATTAAGTTATTATAGTGTCACAAAGTAGAAGAGAATGCCCCTCAGTTGAAGGTCCGAGGCACGGTTTTAGGCTGTGGCCTAGGGAAGTTGTGTTGAGGATGATTAGATAGGCGTATGACCTAAGAAGTGTATTGATATTAAGGGAAAAAAGGTATAATAGTGATCAAGTTTAAGATTGATATTTTGTGCCTATATCCATCAAGTTTGTAAGTTGTCCTTTATGTTTTAGAGAAATGTTTCCTTATGGGTTTAAAGGCAGAATGGGAAATTGAACACCTTCATCGGTGACTTGATTTTTGCTTTTAGTTTCTTAATTCTAGGGTTCTTTCAAAATGTTCAAGGAGGTTTTGGCGATCTGGCCATGGGGCTATTTCCCATTCTAGTTTTTGTTTGCATAATAAATCCCCTATTTCTGGTTTAAGGCCATTCATAAAAAGAGAAAAGAATCCCATCACATCCGCTTCAAGATCTACTCCAGAATTCTGCCACTAGATAGTAAAGGACCTAGCCCTGAAGTCTCCATCAGACTTCTCTCTTTTACATATATACATATGTATTTTTCTTCAGTCCATGACCTGCTGAACAGACTTCTCTCTTGACAAAGAATTAATTAGAGCACATTTTGGTTTCACAGGGAAGACTGAGGATAGCCTCCAAAAGACCTTGACTAACATTCACAGCTTCCCCAAACCCCTTCAGCCTCCTATGCAATCCATGGTCTTTGAAATCACCATTGGGCCAGGCATGGCAGCTCGTGCCTATAATGCTAACACTTTGGGAGAAGGAGGCGGGAAAATCACTTGAGCCCAGGAGTTCAAGACCAGCCTGGGCAATCTAGTGAGACCCTGTCTCTACAAAATAAATAATAAATAATCATTGGGGGGTTTTCCATTCTGACTTTTTCATCGAATGTTTTGCATCTGAGGCTCCAACTGGCATATAAATGAATTGCTATAAATCTGGCTGCTCTGGATTATATGTTCCTAAAACAATTCGAAGTCCCATTTAGGCCTTTGTACAAGGGCTTTCAGCTAAAAATGAAAACAGGGCTTAAAATCCCCCATAGAGTTTTATTTATTTATTTATTTTTTCTATTCTGAAGTTAAGTGAGCTTTGGGGTATTTAGCCAGCCAAGAGGAAAGGGCCCGAGGTAGAGAATAGGGCAGAGATGGAGGAGCATAGGGTAGGGGAAAAGAAATAGGTCTCAGCTGTGATATTGGGGCAGGGGAGGTCTAAAAGATAGTTTTAAGTAGTTCAGCTTTTTATTTTACTTTGGCCAAGAAATCTGTTAAGGAAGTAATTTTTGGGGCTGGGTGTGGTGGCTCACTCCTGTAATCCTAGCACTTTGGGAGGCCGAAGTGGGCAGATCACTTGAGCTCAGGAGTTCAAGACCAGCCTGGGCAATATGGCAAAACCCCATCTCTACAAAAAATACAAAAATTAGCCTGGCATGGTGGGCAGGTGCCTGTGGTCCCAGCTACTTGAGGGGCTGAGGTGGGAGGATCGCTTGAGCCCAGGAGGCAGAGGTTGCAGTGAGCTGAGATCGTGCCACTGCACTCCAGCCTGGGTGACAGAGAGCCTATCTCAAAAAAAAAAAAAAAGAATTTTGGAATCCTGTTTCTTTTGTATGCTTGCTCATGCTAATGAAAAAAATGAAGACCATTGGATGTTTAGAATTGTGTTCACTTTGCAATCTAAAGTGAATACTTTTGTTCATATCAGAAATTCCTCATAGTGGCTACTGCAATTCTAAATTATCTTTGGGGAAATGATGATGCTATCTAGACAAGTAAGTGTACACATTTGGGTGACAGCATAAATACATGCAAGAAGCAGAAGTCTGGCCTAAGGAAGCCATAGACGGGTTGATACTGAGACAGACCCATGAGAGTCTGCGAATGGTGAGCTGACAGTTGCTTGTGTATCCTGTGGCTCAGGACTCCCCAGCCTCATAGCTAGACCTTTTCCAACTGTAACCCTGATGAATTTACAGTTCCCAGCAGACAGAGGGTCCAGCGAGATTGTCCTGAACCAAACTCTTAAAGACAAAATAAGACACGTCTGAGAAAAGTTCTCATAAAGTTTTGATCAGAGACAAAATTTGTCCCTGGGCCAGCTAAGGGACAGACTTACTGAGACCTACACTTGTCCTCTTCATTAAAAACTTTCCTCTTACAGATGCACAACAAAAAAATGACAAGGATGAACACAGACAAGTAGTAGCGTTGTTAGTAATAAGGCAGATATCCACCAAGGAGAAAATATTTTCAAATATGGTCAGATAATCAAAGGGTTCTTTATTGGTAGAAGAGAAAACAGGCTCAGTATTTGG